TGAAATCGAAATCTCAAAAATGTGACTGTTTCGAGTTGGAGCCCACGGATTCCAATGAACAATGATAGACTCATTAATAGGGTAGTCCATACGTTATAAAAATACAAAAAATTACAGATAAGAACAACTCTGGCACAAGGAGAACAAAGAGCTTTATATATGTAAAATGTACAAACTTTTTTTATATAGATTTTTAAAAATGACCGCAATAAAACGTTATGAAAATGCACGTGACCTTAGCTCTGGTTGGGACCTGAAGAAAAATGTGTATACAAAAGAAATCAAACGTTCTGCCATCATGCAAGTTATTATTATTATTATTATTATTAAGCAGAATCAGCGGCATAATTTGTTAATTTATTCGGCAAACGGTCACTTGACCAAACCATAATAAAATTTCTTGGGGAATAATATTATTATCTTTATTATTTATTAAAACACTTGAAGAATAACGTCATATTTCCATAGTATGTCTGATCTTTACGTTATGTTTAATTATTTTTCAAATGGTGACAATAACATACAATATTTTAAGATAACTTAAAAGAAGAGAGACATATTGTTTCGAGGCTTATCTTCCATTAAGATACATAGAGGAGAGAATTTCTAGACGCTTTTCTTTTCTTAAATGTCGCAATTCTTCTTTTATTGTTAATAATAATAATATTTCGCAAAATAATATTATATGGAGTTGGATCCAAGATAAAAGCGACCGTTTGGAAGGTCAATTGTAACACAGTAGGACATGAGCGACACGGATAAAACACACACAAAGAGAACACACACACTTTGGTCATAATATTATATATATACACACAGTCATCTTATATGCACACAAAGTGATATATTTACACATATATTCACACTTTCATATATATACGGTGGTATAAACACATACACACAAATATATGCTGACATATACATATACATTATTGGCTATATACACATCGTCTTATTTTTTGGTCACATATATGCTGCTTTATCTTATAAATTGTGGTAAAACACAAATGAATTTAATAAACGTCAGATAAAAATTTATTTACAATAAGTAACAAACATATGAAACCACATATAAACATGAGACACAAAGTATAAATACGCTTCTTTGAACTTCACACAAATATATAAACTGGATATATACACATTCACATATATATTAAAATATATAAGACATACAACACATATATATATCTCTGTGTTGATTATTTACATTATTTACACACACACATGTTATTATCATCTTCATATATATACACACAACACCTATATATACACTGTTATACGCTCCACATATATATTCAGGTGATTACATATTTCTAATCGAACCTTTTATTTCGTCGACACATAGATTGTTCAAAGTTCCACATGCCATGCCTCTTCTGGATATATATATATACCCTTTAAATATATATATATATATATACACAGTTATATATACACACACAGCAGCGATAAACAAAACACTTAGGTGAAATGATAAAAAAAAAATATATATATAAAAGCACGCGTCGGAATATTTCTATGAATATATTTGTACAAACATTCATAACGTTTTTTTTAAATTATATATGCGTATATATTTATATATATATATATATAGTTTTGACCACAAATTTTTCTGGATGTAGCATCAGAAACGATTTAGTTCAAGAATCGCTCACCTTCTTTCAAATTAATTGAAACAACTGCTTTAGTTTCCTTTCTTTCACTATACGGTCAGTTTTAGACCCACTGGAGTGACAGGTTGTAATCGATTTCTATTTTTTTTTCTCAGATTAGGTCATTTGCAGCGTTGTGCAGTAATATGAATCTATTTTCGATGTGTATGATGAAATTTGTTTGGCCTTGAAAAATATTTCGTCATCCATGATTGCATCAGATTTCTATCACGCCCAGACACTATTGTCTCGATTGTCGATTAGTTGTCCTACGACCATTGTCTGTGATGGACGTTACTCCAAGGGGGCGTACAAAATTGTAACGCTGCACGAACACACTGGCGAACCTTGCCAGTGAGCAAACCAAGGTACTATAGACTGGTCCTGAGACTCCCCGATTTAAATCCAATCGAGAATCTGTGGTCAATCTGCAAGGAACGATTTCGTGGAATGGACATACGAAGTACTAACATGTGCACTGGGTCATGTTTCATTGGGAAAATACGAAAAATAAGTAAATAATAACGGAATTATTCGTTTTGTTTCAATTAATTTTCACAAGGGCGTAAATATTTTGCACATTATTCGACTGGGTGTCAAAGCATTTGTTATTTTGCCCCAAAATAGATTTTTTTTCTGCTTATTTTATTGGAGAAATAGTTTTATTATGGTAAGATTTATTATGACATCTTATGTTTAAATCTCAATAAATGAACTTCGTAAAAACACGACAGCCCTCGTCCCCTGAAATGCTAGATCTGCTCCCATTAGGACGATAGAGAGATTTTATGGGTTTTAAAATCTTCACGTAAGGGTTTAAAAACATAAGCGAATTTAAGGATTACATTTACTTACGTGCTTATCACCCCTTGGGAAAGGTATGTTTTTATTTTCCATTTATATGTTTTTTTATGAGTAAATAGCAGGACATTTTTAGGTTCTATAATATTTGGATAGCAATCATATATGTTATACAGCATTAAGAAATGGAAATGATACTGTAAAAAAAAAACCAAATAGATATCCGGGAAATAAGGAAGTCATGTATATATAAAGATACATGATCCAATAAATAAGCGGATATATCATAACTGACAGGTATTCCATGAATTTTTTTGACCCGTCCATTTTAAGAAGAATTGAAAGATATTTTCTCATTTAGAACAGCTAAAAAATTAAATAACACATCCTATCTTTGAAATAGAATAAGCAAATTGACTTCCGTTAAATCGATTCAGATATATATTGCCATATTCTATTTTTATTCAAATAGCACAGTCTCGGATTGAGGGAAAATATTCTGAGCCGTTGAATGAAAATTTTCACCCAGATTATGGGTAAATTTACAGAACAGACCGAGTTCTATTTTTCAAAGAAATGGCAACCAACACGGGAAAAAAAGAATTTCGTCAGTCATGTATGAAAAGATACATGATCGTCAATCTAAATGTATTATCCATGCATGGCATATAACTGGTATTCCATATTTCTTTTTTCCGCCCATTTTCAGAAGAATTGAAAGATTTTTACCATTTAGAGCATTTATCAAAACCAAATCACATCCGATATTTTTATGATCGAATAAGCAAATTGACTTCCATTAAATCGATTCAGATGTATTTATGTATGTATTTTAACACAAAAATAGCGCCGTCTCGGATTGAGGAATATAAGAAATATATTCGAATTAAGTCGAATCCATATACATTCACTTACATGCTAATATATATATAATGGGAAATTAAATCAAGAATTCCTGAAGAGGCATTAAAATAAATAGAAGCGACTTGGATTGAGGAATCGGTTTAGTTATTTCAGTCAGAATCCATTACATTCACTTACTTTTTTTAATACCCTTGGGAAAATTATGAATCTAATTTTGGCCTATTTAAAAAAGAGATATAGATAGCGACTTGGAAGGAATCCTGAGCCGAGTTCGAATTAAAATCGAATCCATATAAAATTACTGATATTTAATTAATTTAAAAGGTATTTGGAAAACTCTCTTGGCCTGAATGTTGCATAGTTTTTAATAGACTTTGACTTGGATTGATAAATCGAAGAGCCGAGTTCGAATTCCAGTCGAATCCATTACATTCACTTACGGGCTAATACCGTTTGGGAAAGAAATGAATTTTTTCTTCTCCCCCCCCAGCTATGGGTAAAATAGCAGAAAAATAGTTAGCCTTGGTCTACCGCAGAAAGAAATGGCAACCTGCTTCAGGAAAAATCTGCCTCGTCAGCCTATATCGGAAGATACATGATTGACTAAGTATGTATCATGCATGGCACATAACTTTTTTTTTTTTAACCTGATAAGAAATCTGAATTATATTCATCACACTACATTCGGGTTTCGATTGACAATTTATTAGGACTATCCTGAATTGATATTTTATAACATTTTCATGTGACAATTGTTGATAGAATGCAAGGAAATTCGGAATTCTTTTCTGTTATTTTTCCCTTGTTACTTGAAGATGAGAAAAAATGTCAGCAAATAATTCCTCTTGCTTTATAGTGACGAAAAATCATTGTGTGAAATCGGGTATTTTTGGCTGGTCATACAAGATAGTTGTGCCCTAAAAAGATTTTTTATGCACTTATTATTTTGATGTTCCCTGAAGATAGAAGTCAAAATGCGACGATATCCTGCCTCGTGATAGCCAAATAAACATCAAGTGTTAGAGGCCAGCAGACGGAATAGAAAAGCGTCAAGTGGCCTTTTTGGTGGTGAAGAAAAATGCGTAGAAGAGCGTGTGAAGATTAACACAAGGTCACAAGATCAGCAAAAAAAGGTCCGGAGGAAGAAGACTCATAACACAGAGACGCAAAAGCCGAATGTGAAAGGGGATGTGCACACTCCCTAAGAAAGAGATCCGATGACATTCCAGAATAAAACAAACACCTGACGAAGGCCGGAAGGTAGACGACAGAAATGTTAAAAAAAAAAAGAAGCATTTTGCAAAATGAGATAATTGTTTTTTACATTTTTTTTTTTTTTTGAGAAAGGAATTGTAGTGTATGTTCTCAAAAAGACATCAGTACAGATAAACAGTGGCTGATATAATTTGTCTCTTTATTCTTCTCTCTCTATATATATATATATATATATTATATATATATATATAATATCTTTTCCTTAAAACACACAAAAAAATCTTTTTAACCTGTAATGAACGGAGAAAATCTGCAAAAATATTTTGGCAGAATAGACCGAGCCAAAGTGATTACTTGACCAAATCAGTGAGGAGGGAGTTATGTGAGTCGTGTACTTTCAAGACAGCTGAATATCAGGGCTGGCATGGTTCTTAGGGTGGGTAGAGAATCACTTTAACCCCATCAACCCAGCAGGGGTGGAAGCGAAGAACATAAAAGAACTGTCTGAAAGGGAAAGAGTCAAAAGAAATGGTTCAAGGCAAGGGAAGGCGACGATAGATTGAAATGTCTGCTTGATGCTATTGAGTTAATGTGTTTACCATTCAATGGCCCGGGGATGCGACCTCACCAACTGTGGGCGAATAGAAGATGCTAAAATGGTGAGAACTGACTTGTTCCTTTTATTTATTTTTTTATTTATTTTGTTTTTATTTTTTTTCAACGTTTTTCTGACAGACGACTCTATTTTCTCATTTATTTTTTTCTGGTTGTAAATGAGAGATTTATCGGAATTTCCAAGATTTTCGTTTTAGGAGTGTAACAGACAGATATAAATAACCATGTCTATAGTTCAGATTGGTGCTCGGATGTATCAAGAAGCTGGTTTTATAGTAGCTTAGTTCGATTCAGCATTTCAATCAATGCAAATCACTGTGAGTTTTGGCATTCCACCTCAGTCATACATATCTGAATGACACGCCATTGTCTTTAAAATCGTACGATTATTTGATTTTTACAAGAATTTCCACATCAATGTGTTTTCAGCGGAAAAAAAGGACAAAAAGTCAATGTTATTATTATACCATTGCGATGACGTAAACAAAAGAAGATTTTAACTAAAATTTCGAACGTTTTAGAAAGGATTAAAAGATTACAAAAAGTAATTAAAGAAAACTCTTTGGTCTTTCATCTTAATAATAACATAAACATTTTGACGATAATACATTATTTTTATTTTATTTCCGAGTTTTTTCCTTACGCTATTGCTGTTCTCCCAGCAAAAAAGTGTCATTTGTACCTAGTTTTAATATAACATACAGAAATATATATATATATATATATATATATATATGTATATATTTAATGTGTTTGTGAACCTTTCATTAAATAATATAGACAACTTTTTGTTTATTAATTTTAAGTAAATTTCTTTCATATTATCGAATACGAATTTGAAACAAACTGAAACACAAAAAAAAAAAATCACCATGTTGATACATGTTTTTATTGTTAATCCTGTCTAAGGTTTCGGCTTACATAAGCCATCATCAGAGATTACAAGTACATTACAATAAATTAAATAATAAATTATATAACAAAAATGGTAATTTTTTCTTTTAGAATGGTTATGCGTACATTGCAACAATGATAGTTTGTTTTGTTTGCATGGAAGATTGCTATGCAACGATAAATCATTTATAGATTTATTAAAAATGCTGCCTAAATATATATATATATATCCACAGACAGCCTGTTTCGCGGTATCACATATCATCAGTGTGACTAGACATCCGCTTGTTTCAAGCCGGGATCTTTTTTTCGACAAGATTATCATCAGTCAGAGACTCTATTTTAAGCTATCGGATTTTCCATTATGGGAATCTTTTAACGCATTATATATGTGATGTATATAAACGCTAAACCAGCAGCCAGAGCGCCGAGTTCTGACGAAGAGCAATGTGTTAAGCAAGAGCAGCAGTGTTGTGACCTTGTTAGGGCCAGAAATAAAGACACAAGAGAAGAAGTGAGTTAAAGAAATATATTAACAGAAGCAGTAATACAAAACATATAAAAACAAGAGTGTTACAGTAAGAATGTTCGGTCCAACTGTCAGAGCTGACTGCTGGAAATTTCCCACTCCAAAAAGGCCTTAAAGGGAAGAAAAGTAGAGTGAAGGGAAGGAGGGAACACTGTAGGAAAGGAAAGAAGAAATAAAAGAAGCAAAGAAGAAGAGAAGGAAAGTGGAAAGAAGGGGAGGATATTACACTGAAGAAAAGGCAAAGTAAGAAAAAATAAAATGAGCAAAGAGGAAGGGAAGGAATGTGGAATGACGGGAAGGATGGAACATTGAAGGAACGAAAAAGAAAGAAGAAATAAAAGAAGGAGAGGAAGGTAAGTTGAAAGAAGGGAAAGATGAACCACCGAAGAAAGAAAGGAAAGGGAAGACGAAATAAAATATGGAAAGAGGTAGGGAAAGAAAGTGGAATGAAAGGAATGATTTAACACTGAAGGATAGGAAAGGAAAGAAAAAATAAAAGAAGAAAAGAGGGAAGGAAGGATAGACGAATGAAGCAAAGGGCGGAACACTGAAGGAAAGGAAAGGAAAGAAGAAATAAATGAAAGAAAGAGGAAGGGAAGGGAAGTGAAATAACGGTAAGGATGGAACACTGATGGAAAGGAAAGGAAAGAAAAACAAAAGAAGGAAAGAAGAATGGAAAACTGAAGAAAAGAAAAGGAACGAGTAAAGAAAAAAGGAAAGAAGAACAGAAAGAAATAGGAATGAAGGGAAAGACGGAGCATTGAAGGCCAGGAAAGGAAAGAAGAAACAAAAGAAGGAAAGAGATATGAAAGGAAGGATGGAACATAGAAGGAAAGGAAAGAAGAGATGAAAGTATGAAAGAGGGAGGAAAAAAAAAAAAAAAAACGAAAGGATGGTACACTGATAGAAAGGAAAGAAATAAAAGAAGGAAAGAGAAAAGAAAGAATAGTGGAATGAAGTGAAGGATAGGACACTGAAGAAAAAGAAAGGAAAGGAAAGAAGGAATAAAAGAAGGGAAAAGGAAGGTAAGGAAAGGGAAATAAAGTTAAGGATGGAACACTGATCGTAAGGAAAGAAGAAATAAATGAAGGAAAGAGAAAGGGAAGGAAAGTAGAATGAAGAGAAGGATGGGACACTGATGGAAAGGAAAGAAAAAATAAAAGTAGGAAAGAGGAAGCGAATGAAAGTGGAATGAAAAGAAGAAAGGAAACCTGAAGAAAAAGAAAGGAAAGAAGAAATAAAAAAAGGAAAGATGAAGGGAATGAAAGCAGAATGAAGGGAAGGATGGAACACTGAAGAATAGGAAAGGAAAGAAGAAATAAAAGAAAGAAAGAGAAAGAGAAGTAAAGTGGAATGAAAAGAAGAAAGGAAAGGAAAAGAATAGGAAAGGAAAGAAGAAAAAAAAAGAAAAAGATGAAGAAAAAGGAAAGAAAATGTAAAGCGAAGGAAGGAACACTGAAGAAAGGAAAAGGAAAGGAGAAATAAAAAAAGAAGGAAAGATGAAGGAAAGGAAAAAAAAGGATGGGAAGGATGGAAGACTTGAAAGGATGGAAGAATAGGAAAAAAAAAAAAAGAAAAAAAAAGAAGGAAAGATGAAGGGAAGGAAAGTAGAATAAAGAAAAGGATGGAACACTGAAGAATAGGAAAAGGAAGGAAGAAATAAAAGAAGGAAAGATGTTAAAAAGGAAAAGTAAATGAAGGATGGATGGAACACTGAAAGAATAAGGAAAGGAAAAGGAGAAAGGAAAAGAAGGAAAGATGAAGGAAGGAAAAGTAGAATGAAAAAAAGGATGAAACACTGAAGAATAGGAAAGGAAAAAAGAAGAAAAAAAAAAGGAAGGAAAGATAAAGGGAATAAAAAGAAAGAAAAGAAAAGGATGGAACACTGAAGAATAGGAAAGGAAAGAAAAAATAAAAGAAGGAAAGATGAAGGGAATGAAAGTAGAATGAAGAGAAGGATGGAACACTGAAGAAAAGGAAATGAAGGAAAAAAAAAAAAAAAAAAAAAAGATAAAGGGAAGGAAAAAGAATGAAAAAAAAGAATGGAAACTGAAAAGAAAAAAAAGGAAAGAAGGAAAAAAAAAGGAAAGAAAGAAAAGAAAAGGAAAAGAAAAAAGAAGGAGGAAACACTGAAGAAAAAAAAGAAAGAAAGAAAAAATAAAATGAGCAAAGAGGAAGGGAAGGAATGTGGAATGACGGGAAGGATGGAAGAAAGAAGGAACAAAAAAAAAAAGAAAAAATAAAAAGAAGGAAAGGAAGGTAAGTTGAAAGAAGGGAAAGATGAACCACCGAAGAAAGAAAGAAAAAGGAAAGAAACGAAAAAAAAAAAGGAAAGAAGGTAGGAAAAGAAAAAAGTGGAATGAAAGAAAAATTTAACACTGAAGAAAGAAGGAAAGAAAAGAAAAAAGGAAAAAGAAGAAAAGATGGGAAGGAAGGATAGACGAATGAAGCAAAAGAGCGGAACACTGAAGGAAAAAGAAAGGAAAGAAGAAATAAAAGAAAAAAGAAAAAGGAAGAGGTCTGAAAGAAATAACGGAAAGGATGGAAAGGATGGAAAGGAAGGAATGAAAAAGAAAAAAAAAAGAAAGAAAAGAGAAAATGAAAGGAAGGGTGGAAAAAAGAAGGAAAGGAAAGAAGAGATGAAAGAATGAAAGAGGGAGGAAAAAAGAGGAAAAAAAAGAAAGGATGGTAAACTGATAGAAAGGAAAAGAAATAAAAAGAAAAAAGAGAAAAGAAAGAATAGTGGAAAAAATGAAGGATAGAAACTGAAGAAAAAATGAAAGGAAAGGAAAGAAGGAATGAAAGAGAAAAAAAGGAAAGGAAGGAAAAGAAAAAAAAAAAGGATGGAAAAGAGATCGTAAAGGAAAGAAGAAAGAAATGAAGGAAAAAGAAAGGGAAGGAAAGTAGAATGAAGAGAAGGATGGGACACTGATGGAAAGGAAAGAAAAAATATTTTTAGGAAAAAGGAAGGAAAGAAAAAGTGGAATGAAGGGAAGAATGGAAAAAAAAAAGAAAAGGAAATGGAAAAAAAGAAGGAAAAGAAGGAAAGATGAAAAAAATGAAAAAAGAATAAAGGGAAGGAGGGAACACTGAAGAAAAAGAAAAAAAAGAAAAAAAAAAAAGGAAAGATGAAGGGAATGAAAGAAGAATGAAGAGAAGGATGAGACACTGAAGAAAGGAAAGGAAAAAGAAGAAATAAAAAAAGGAAAAAAAAAAGGGAAGGAAAAGTAGAATGAAGGGAAGGATGAAAGAACTGAAGAATAGGAAAAGAAATAAAGAAGAAAAAGAAGGAAAGATGAAGGACTGAGGAAAGAATGAGGGGAAGGAAGGAAACACTGAAGAATAGGAAAGGAAAAAAAAATAAAAAAAGAAAAAAGATAAAGAAAAGGAAAAAAGAATGAAGGGAAGGATGGAATTTGAAGAAAAGGAAAGGAAAGAAGAAAAAAAAAGAAGGAAAGATGAAGGGACTGAAAAGAATGAAGGAAGGATGGAGAAATGAAAAGAAAAGGAAAGGAAAGAAGAAGGAAAAAAAAGGAAAGATAAAGGGAAGGAAAGTAGAATGAAGGGAAGGATGGTAAATTGAAGAATAGGAAAAGGAATGAAGAAAAAAAAGAAAGAAAGATTGAAGGAAAGGAAAAGAATGAAGAGAAGGATGGAAACTGAAGAAAGAAAAGGAATGAAGAAATAAAAGAAGGAAAGATGAAGGAAAGGAAAAAAAAAAATGATGGGGAAGGATGGAACACTTAAAAAAATAGGAAAGGAAAGAAGAAAAAAAAAAAAAAAGGAAAGATGAAAAGAAAAGGAAAGTAAAAATGAAAGAAGGATGGAAACTGAAGAAGAAGGAAAAGGAAAGAAGAAAAAAAAGAAGGAAAGATGAAGGAAAGGAAAAAAGAATGAAGGGAAAGAATGGATCACTGAAGAAAGGAAAGGAAAAAGAAAAAAAAGAAGGAAAGATGAAAGGAAAAGGAAAAAGAAAAGAAGGAAAGGATGAAAGAAAAAAGAATAGGAAAGGAAAGAAGAAAAAAAAAAATGAAGGAAAGGAAAAGGAAAGAAAGGGAAGGATGGAACACTGAAGAATAAAAAAGGAAAAGAAGAAATAAAAGAAGGAAAGATGAAGGAAAAGGAAAGAAAATGAAGAAAAGGATGGAAAAGAAAGAATAGGAAAGGAAAGAAGAAAGAAAAAAGAAAGAAAAGAAAATGAAGGAAAGGAAAGAAAGAATGAAGGGAAGGAAGAACACTGAAGAAAAGGAAAGGAAATGAAGAAAAAAAAGAAGGAAAGATGAAGGAAAGGAAAGTAGATTGAAGGGAAGGATGGAACACTGAAGAATAGGAAAGGAAAATGAAGAAATAACGAAGGAAAGATGAAGGAAAGGAAAGTAGATTGAAGGGAAGGATGGAACATTGAAAGAAAAGAAAGAAAGGAAGAAAGAAAAAAAAGAAAAAGAAAAGAAAAGAAAAGAATGAAGGAAGGATGGAACACTGAAGAAAAAGGAAAGGAAAGAAGAAAAAAAAGAAGGAAAGATGAAAAGGAAAAAAGAATGAAGGGAAGGATGAAAACACTGAATAATAGAAAAAAAAGAAAGAAAAAATGAAGGAAAGATGAAGGAAAGGAAAGAAGAATGAAGAAAAGGATGGAACACTGAAGAAAGGAAAGGAATGAAAAAAAGAAGGAAAGATGAAGGAAAGGAAAGAAAGAAGATTGAAAGGGAAGGATGAAACATTGAAAAAAGGAAAGGAAAGATGAAAGAAAAAAGAAAGAAAAGAAAAAAAAAAAAGAATGAAGGGAAGGATGGAACACTGAAGAATATGAAAGGAAAGAAGAAAAAAAAGAAGGGAAGAAAAAGGAAAAAAAAAAGAATGAAGGAAGGATGGAAAACTGAAGAATAGAAAAGGAAAGAAGAAAAAAAAAGAAGGAAAGTTGTGTTTTTAAAAGTTGAGAATGAAGGGAAGGATGGAACACTGAAGAAATGAAAGGAAAAGAAGAATGAAAAAAAGATGAAGGAAAAAAGAAAAAAGAATGAAAAAAAAATGGAAACTGAAGAAAGAAAAGAAAAGAAGAAATAAAAAGAAGGAAAAGATGAAGGAAAGGAAAGAAGAATTAAGAAAAGGATGGAACACTGAAGAATAGAAAAGGAAAGAAGAAATAAAAGATGAAGGAAAGGAAAGTAGAATGAAGGGAAGGAAGGAACACTGAAGAATAGGAAAGGAAAGAAGAAATTAAAGAAGGAAAGATGAAGGAAAGGAAAGTAGATTGAAGGGAAGGATGGAACACTGAAGAATAGGAAAGGAATGAAGAAATAAAAGAAGGAAAGGTGAAGGAAAGGAAAGTAGATTGAAAGGAAGGATGGAACATTGAAGAATAGGAAAGGAAAGAAGAAATAAAAGATGAAGGAAAGGAAAGTAGAATGAAGGGAAGGATGGAACACTGAAGAATAGAAAAGGAAAGAAGAAATAAAAGAAGGAAAGATGAAGGAAAGGAAAGTAGAATGAAGGGAAGGATGGAACACTGAAGAATAGGAAAGGAATGAAGAAATAAAAGAAGGAAAGATGAAGGAAAGGAAAGTAGATTGAAGGGAAGGATGGAACACTGAATAATAGGAAAGGAAAGAAGAAATAAAGAAAAAAAAAAAGGAAAGTAGAATGAAGTGGGAAGGATGGAATGACTGAAGAATAGGAAAGGAAAGAAGAAATAAAAGAAGGAAAGATGAAGGAAAGGAAAGTAGAATGAAGGGAAGGATGGAACACTGAAGAATAGGAAAGGAATGAAGAAATAAAAGAAGGAAAGATGAAGGAAAGGAAAGTAGAATGAAGGGAAGGATGGAAGGTGTTGTTGGAAGAAAGGAAAGGAAGAAGAAATAAAAGAAGGAAAGATGAAGGAAAGGAAAGTAGAATAAAGGGAAGGATGGAACATTGAAGAATAGGAACGGAAAGAATAAATAAAAGAAGAAAAGATGAAGGGAAGGAAAGTAGAATGAAGAGAAGGATGGAACACTGAAGAATAGGAAAGGAAAGAAGAAATAAAAGAAAGAAAGAGAAAGAGAAGTTAATTGGGATAAAGGGAAGGATGGAACACTTAAGTATAAGTATAGGAAAGAAGAAATAAAGAAGGAAATATGAATTGAAGGAAAGTGAAATGAAGGGAAGGATTGAACTATGAAAGAAAGGAAAGAAGAAATAAAAGAAGGAAAGAGGAAGGAAAAGAATGTGGAATGAAGGGAAGGATGGAACACGGAAAGATAGAAAAGGAAAAGAAATAAGAATGAAGCAGGTGTCTGGAAATAGTAATTAAACAAAGAATTAAGAATGAGGGAAATTGAGCAATTTCTATCAAGTAATGACAGTGTCTTTCAAATATCTATCATATTATTTGTGAAGAATGAAAAAAAGACGATTGAAAGAAAAACATGAGAAATGAATGACAAGAAGGAAGAGGTAAAAAGAAAAGTCGAAAATGTAAGAGTCGAAAATGATGGAAAGGAAAGGGCAAATAATAAAGATTGAACTTCTACCTGGGTATGAAATAGCCACCAGCAGCCAAATGAGCGAAATTCCTCGAGAGTTGACGATTATCGACATGTTGACAAATGAATCCATGCAGAACGCAAAAAAAAAAAAAGCGTTGGCGTTTGCTGTCGAATTCCTATGGAATCTTTAGATCTTCGCCGTTGCCTTCTTCCAGCTGAGACAGAGATAATAAAGCGATTCATATAGAGAGATAAATCATTTTCGCATAGCAACATTTAAACGTTCATAAATGTATTCACATTTGACGTAAAATTAGGATTTGTCTTTTTTAAATATGGAAGGTTTGCTGTCTAGAAAATCAAAATTCAGTTTTTATCAAGAATGTTAGATAATGACGGGGGTAAGATGTTTTAGATGTGGCATTTAAATGTATTGGAATAATATCTTCTTCTTGTGCCGTGTTCCCCCCCTCCCCAAGACGTAGGCGATCTGTCCCTTGAGCTTTTCATAAATTTTGTCTTTTTTCTATTTCTCCTAAGCACTATTCCACCATCCATTTATTCAATCCAATCAAGTACGTTATGCGCTGTTTTCATTTCAGATTCTCCAAGACCTACTTCCACCTTACGTGCCCCAGAAATTCCGACTGTCTCTGATGTTAAGTGTAAGTCTCCTTTTTGTTTCCATTTTTAAATAAACAGCATTGCTGATCACATCGTGGCTCTTTGTTATCCTCAGCATCTGTCTGTAGAACCACGTCCTCGGTAAGACGATAAACTACATCCACGTCCTGGGTATGACGATAAACTACGTCCGCATCCTGAGTAAGACAATAAACTGCGTCCGCGTCCTGGGTAAGACGATAAACTACATCCGCGTCCTAGGTAAGACTATAAACTACATCCGCGTTTTGGAGTAAGACGATAACCAAATACCCCTGCGTCTTGAGTAAGACGATAAACTACATCCGCGTCCTTGGGTAAGACAATAAACTACGTCCATCTCCCGGTCCTGGGTATGACGACAAACTACGTACATCCACGTCCTGTGTAAGACGATAACCTACATCCGCGTCCTGGTTAAGACCGTAAATTACATCTGCGTCCTGGGTATGACGATAAACTACGTTCAACACCCGGTCCTGGGTATGACGATAAACTACGTACACGTCCTAGTTAAGATGATAAACTACATCCGCGTGCTGAGTAAGACGATAAACTACGCCCAACAGCAGGGCCTCCGATCAGGAGGTTTTGGGGAGCGTGGTACCACCTCTTAATTGCTGGTATTCCCAGGTCCACCCTGACCTGGGATGGTAGTACCTGTTAGGGTTCTAACTATGGGCAAATAGTTAACTCCCAAACTGGGATCAAACACTATGAAAGTGTAAAAATAGGTTTTACTACCAGCAGTACATTATTAACAGCAATACTTTTTTTGAAGGAAAAAAATGTTACTAATAATACATTATTGAAGAAAAAAATATTACCAGCAATAAAAAATCTTGTCAGCATTAAATAAGCCACTGAGGTTGATATACTGTAAAACAAACCCAACCACACCTTCTGTAGAACCATATTTCTATTTATTCAACTCTCTTCTACATCTTTTAATAGATTGTCTAGCATTCACTGCCATATAGGAAGACAGATATCATGAAACAGTTTAGTAGTGATTTCTTTGTTTCTAACGAAATTTATCTGTCTCTTAGCTTTTGAAAGGCATCTTTCGCCATCCCAATACGTCTTCGGCTCTCGGTGTCACACTTACCGTCCTCTATTTAAACGTTTCTCAGATATTGAAATTTTTGTACATCTTTGATTTTGGCATCTCCAATTTGTAATTTGCATTTTGGGATCACCCTTTTTGCTAACAACCTTACATTCTCTTTTCTTGTAGTTTATATTTAGCCCTTTCTCGTTTTCCTTCGATGCCTTCTGTAGGAGATTTTCTTCTTTTCTTTCCGCTATCAACAATGCTATCATCTTGCTGCCATTAATACTGTACCATCAGCATATCTTATGTTGTTAAGATTGTGATCACCAATAATAAATCCTGGTAGGATATGTAATTTTCTCAGAATGGCCTCGCTTTAAAGGTTGAAACAGTCCGGTGAGAAGATACATCCTTGCCTTACACCCCCCCTTCTATTTTTGTGCTACTGCTGAAATCATTCTCTACCTATATGCAGGCAATTTGCTGCCAGCATAGATTCTTGATTTTTTTTTTTTTTTTGGTGAGGGGAGGGTGACACTTCCGCGTGGTGTAATGGTTAGCAAGCTTTGTCTCGCTAAAAACAAAAAACAAAAAAACAGTTACGACTGAATAGTAAGTTTAATCCTCACTGGGTGCCCCATACTTTCGGCCTTGTGCCACATCTACGCTACGCTTAGAAAATCATAGGGCACCCCGAGGCGGTGTAGTGGTTAGCAAGCTTGTCTCGCTAGAACATTTACTACTGAGGAGTGAGTTCGATCCTCACTAGGTGCCACCTACTTTGAGCCTTGTGCCACATCTAAGCTACGCTTTGAAAAAAAATCACTAGATTCTTAATTTTTCCATTTTTATTCCAATTTACCCTAACACCGGCAGAAAAGCTACTAAGATTCAAGGGGTTACTGGGTGTGAAAAAATTAGAAAACATTCTTGAGGAGTGAGAACAATAGAAGAATAATCAGGAAGATAGTAGGTAATGATTGCATTGAAATCTTTGAAGGTCAAAGGTGAATCTTTCCCAAATATCTCAAGGTTGCTGATTAGCTTTTGAGTACCAATAAAATTAGTAGTGTCATTTTTTCTCTCATTCCACTAATGATATGTTATCTAAATTCAATTTTTATTAAAGTAATACTCTGGATATTTACTTTTAGTGTTACAGTATGAGTCAGTGTTTTTTTGATGTTGCAATTATTGTTAACTAGCTTAAAAGCTGCCCAATAGAGCGACATTTAAGCTAGCTTCTGCGGAGGGTTCTTGATTGGGCCTTCATCACAATAAATAGGGAGGAGTAGATGCAATAGTCAACAATAAACTATAGAAGAACTCAAAATTGATCACTCCATTTAAGTATTGCATTAATATTTCAGCTTGCCTTTTAAAAGGTCAATGATAATTCTTCCGTCACCACTTAATTTAAAGACAATTTGATGTGCGTAGGTCCTTACTTTCTGTATAAACAATAAATTTTTATTTCATGGGTGACTTTCACTGGATTTTGCAATTAATTTTGTTTATTCCCAAGTTAGCATTTTTCTTTTTCTTTAGGTACAAATTTCTACTTATTACTGTTGCAATTCTTCAACTTATTAAATTTGTTTTTTTCTAATATATAGGACTGACTCATACTTGTTATTTGTGACCTTTTAGATTCCTACTCCTTTGTATTAAAACATTGCCTTCTACTTAGAACTGCTGCTTAACAGTTCTATTTTACTGCAGATGTTCCATTAATGCAAATCCTATGATAGAATTCTCTTGAAAATTTTAGATTCCTTTTTTAGCTTCATGATTTGGGCCAAATATTTTAACTGAGTTCTTTTAAAAGGTAATTTGTTTAGCTAGATCAAAATAGAGAATTTTTAAACCCTGTTACTAGAAAATCTTTTGAAAATAAAATAACCATTAACAGACCCTGATTACATAACAGATTTATTTAAAGATGAGTGTGAATTATAAATTGACTAGCTTAAAAGCCACCTTATCAGGCAGCATTTAAGTTAGGTCCTGCAGAGGGCTCTTAATTGGGCCTTCATCACAACAGGTAGGAAAGAGTGGATGCAATAGACAACAATAAACTACAGAAGAACTCAAAATTGATCACTGCATTTAAGCATTGCATTAACATTTGTGCTTATCTTTTAGATGTTCAATGATAATTCTTCTGCTACCACTTAATTTAGACATTTTGATGTATGTAGGTGTAAGAAAAGACATGGAACAGAGTAACCCAAATTAGGCTTGTCATACAATTGCTGGATACTATTGACGGCTCTCTCGTGTAGACAGCCAGATAATAATTCATACACTGAAGGGTCTATAAAGTTTAGGTGCACAGTTTGTCGGTCGGGGGCGTATTGTTCTATACTTTGCAGGAAATTCTCAAAAGTGGCAGATCAGTGCTTCCAATCCTTTTCAGCATTCTTCGAACTGGAGAGAGTTTCAAATATCGGAGGTCGCGGAATTTTGTCCATATTCCTCAAAGACCGAGATAGCGTTACTGAAAAGTATTTATGAGATTGTGCAGAAGAAATTGCGCCTAAACTTTATAAGCCCTTCAGGGTATGAATTAATTTCTGACTGCCCAGACTATAAGAGAGCCGTCAATAGGAACCAGCAAACCTATGACAAGCCAAATTTGGGTTATTCTGTTCCGTGTCTTTTATTACAATTTATTCTGCACAATAAAATAGTTAGTATAACAAAACTATTTACACTAATAAATTTATTGGTGTAAAAGCCGCGGTAGCAGAAAAGTTTAGTGTTTATAATATTTTAAATATTAAATAGCCTTGGCCTTCGATTTTTGAACTGGTATTGAGCATGTTTAAAAAAAAATTAAATAGGTTATACAGTGTAACCCGGATATAAGAGACCCGGATATAAGAGAAACCCGGATATAAGAGAGATTTTCTCTGGTCCCAAATTAGAGCCCATACTTACCTAAACAAAATAGACCAAACCCGGATATAAGAGAAACCTGGATATAAGAGACTTCTTCTCCGGTCCCGACAACTCTCTTATATCCGGGTTACACTGTACCTTGTTTGTAAAAAGAGTTTTATTGTACTATATATATATATATGGGAGGTATTTGTCCGTGTATTTTGTGAATAATAGAATATTCTTAACTGACCTTGAGGAGTGATATCCTGTCACTCATGGATAAGTATTATGAAATTTTATATATATATATATATATATATATATATATATATATATATATATATATATATATAGTCGACTCTCCCGTCGAATTCGACGTATGCGGGTCATGCAGATCAGTTCCCAGGAAACCGACAGCCCGACACCAGCACATCAGATTTGATTATCGTGGTGAAGGTTTCGTGCAGGACCATCCAAAACTTTTTGAAGGGCCGAATTCAGACGACACTCCCTCTTTTTACAAACAAGGTATAAGTTCAGGATCAGTCCATTTTTGACGATAGGCAGTGGGTTGAGAGAGAAGGAATGTTCACCACAGTAGGTCCTTACTTTCCTTACAATCAGTTATTTTTATTTCATGGGCGATGTTTGCTGGGTTACGCTATTAATTTCGATTATTCCCAAATTTCTTTCCGAGTTATATAAATTGTTATCGTACAAAAAAAATACAAAAAAAATTCGTCATAAAAAATAACGTAAAAAAAATCGACCAAAATAATCGCAGTAATGAAAATTTGGGAATCCCAAAATTCAGGATTACGAGTCCGGATCCAGTTCAAAATGTCTTTAATTTTCTCACAGAGTCAGCCTAATTCCAAAATGGTATATGTTGGGCTACGTCCTCCAGGAGTAAAGTTTGAAAAATATTCGCATTTATTATATAGATTTTATAAAATTTCTATTTATTTATAAATACAGTATAACCCGGATATAAGAGAGTTGTCGGGACCGGAGAAGAAGTCTCTTATATCCGGGTTTGGTCTATTTTATATACATTAACACAGGCTCTAATTTGGGACCAGAGAAAATCTCTCTTATATCCGGGTTACTCCTATATCCGGGTTACTCTTATATCCGGGTCTCTTATATCCGGGTTACACTGTATATTTTTCCGTCTTCTTATGTTGTGAATTCATTTGCTTGCTTGTTGTTTATTTTTTTTCTGTTCTTTTTTGTTTGTTTTTCTTTTTGTTTTGTTTTTTTTTGTCTACAAACAAAACTAAATGAATCGCTTTAATTGTAATCTTCCTTTATATTTTGTAGATATCCATTTTGGAATATTGTTTAGTCGGGTGAAAAGTTCAACGACCGCAACGTACGACACGAAGGCGACGTGTACATCACTGACTGCAATTATATTCATTCTTATGACGGCTAATTGACTCTGTAATTAGTTTGACTGTTATAAGTATGAAAGAAAAGTATATATATATATATATATATATATATATATATATATATATATAATAAAAAATTTCGCAATACTTATCTATGATTGACTGATATAACTCCTCAAGCTCAGAAAAGAATATATACGCACATATACCCCATATATATATATATATATATATATATATATATATATATATATATATATATATATATATATCGGGCAATAAAACTTTTTTACAAAAAGTTATAACTTCTTTAATTCTTTTTTTAATATGCTCAATACACATTTCAAAAAATCGAAAGGCAAAAGATTATTTAATGTTTAAAATATTATAAACACTAAACTTTTCTGCTACCGCGATTTTTACACCAATAAATTTAGTGTTTGTAATATTTTAAATGACATGGGCCGACCAGTATATTTCAGGAGAATAACTTTTTTATGTTGTCTGTAATTGTCCAACTTATCTTTACCAGGATATACAGGCTGATTGAAAGTAACTCCCTATTTTATATATGATGGACTCTCCCGTTTTGTAATAATTATAGTTAGACATTAGAGTCCATCATATATAAAATACGGAGATACTTTTCAAAAATTATATATCACCATATATATATATATATATATATATATATATATATATATATATATATATATATATATATATATATAATTTAAAAGAAGTGAAATTGAAAGCTTTTTTAAATTTATCGGATTAATGAGCCAAGAAGGACTCGAAAAGACATTTTTGGTAACAGATAAAAAAACGCGAACAATTGCGATTGTGAAAGAAAACGATATTGACTGAATTGAAAGACGACATTGTCGATAAAATCATGAGAATAAATACGGGAACAAATTGAAAAAAAGATTGAAGACAAACAGACAGACGGGCTGAGAAAAACAAACAACACTTAATGCTAAAGGACAAAAAAGTCTAATTGAAAATAGTAGACAAATCATTATCGCGCGTCTATTAAATCATCATCGTCATCATTATGATTAGGAAGCGAAAAAAGAATACCCCAAATAAACAATCGTTATATATATGAAAAAAGAAAGTGAAAATTATTGCCTAAGGTCTGTGTTAGCTTTTTCTCTTTTCAGAAGCGTTGTTTTCTGCTGATCAAACGCTTTGGCGCCAATTAGGTGTCGAACAATATGGCGGACGGCTGGCGCGAATTTCGACGCGTAAAGTAGCAGCGTCCGCCATTTTTAGTAATGGAGGCTGTGACAATTGTGCGCAGTCGTTGCGTTCGTTTTTAAAGTTGTGAGAAAGATTTGCTGATTACAAAGTGAAGTAATGAATGGCACCCGATTTACCTCCCTTTTCTTATCTGCTTATTCAAACTGTCAGGCTTTTTGACTCAATTTGAATTTATTTCAACATTCTTCTTTCCGCCAAGAATTTCGTTTTCCGTTTGTTTATAGCTGAGTAGGTTTTTCATTTTCATTTTCTTTTTCGAACTTCTCTGTCGCATTTGGAAGTGTCTTCTTTAAAATTCTGTCTTAAAAATAATTGAGTTGCGTTTCGCTTCTTCATATCTAATTTCTATTATACTTTTCTTTCTTTCTTGCTTTCTTTCTTTCTTTCTTTCTTTCTTTCTTTCTTTCTCCAACCTCTGTTTCTATTTATATTTCATTTTTCTGAATTTATTGCATTTTTTCTATCTATCTATCTATCTATCTATCTATCTATCTATCTATCTATCTATCTATCTATCTATCTCAGTCTGTTCATTATATATCTATCTATCTATCTATCTATCTATCTATCTATCTATCTATCTATCTATCTATCTCAGTCTGTTCATATCTATCTCTCTCTCTCTATATATATATATATATATATTATAGTCTGTTCATCTATCTATCTATCCGTCTGTCTGCGAAATATATATCTACACACACACACACACACACACACACACACACACACACACACATATATATATATATATATATATATATATATATATATATATATATATATATATATATATATATATCAGTTTGTTCCTATCTATCTATCTATTCATCATCTATCTCAGTCTGTTCTATATCTATCTATCAATCTATCTATCTCAGTCTGTTCATATCTATCTCTCTCTTTCTCTCTCTCTCTCTCTCTCTATATATATATATATATATATATATATATATATATAATAGTCTGTTCATCTATCTATCTATCCGTCTGTCTGCCTATTTATCTACACACACACACACACACATTATATATATATATATATATATATATATATATATATCAGTTTGTTCCTATCTATCTATCTATCTATCTATCTATCTATCTCTGTTAATATCTCTCCGCTAGCTTGCTATTTATGTATCTTTCTATTTTGTCCTTTGTTTATTTTTCTTTCGATCTTTCTTGTGTCTTTCGCCCTATTTCTTTTTTTTCCTGTGTTTCTTTCGGCCTTTCATTCCTTCGTTTCGTCATTTTCTCTTTCATTTTTGTATTCTTTCTTTCTTTCTTGCCGTTTTCATTACTTTCTTCTTACATTCCTTCCTTCCTTTCTTTTTTCCATATTTAATTTCATTCATCTTTTCTTCCTCGTCTTTTTCATTTTCTATTTTTGTTTTTCTTTCTTCTTTTGCCTTTTCCCCTCCATTTATCTTTCCTTCTTTTTTTCTTTTGTTTTCTTTTTTCGTCCTCTCGCCTTCACTTATCTTTCTCTTTGCTCTCATTCACCCCTCTTTACTTCATCACACTTTCCTTCCTTCCTTCCTTCCTTCCTTCCTTCCTTCCTTCCTTCCTTCCTTCCTTCCTTCTCTCTTACTCCTCTTTTCTACACTCTTCTCTCCATTCCCTCCTTTCTCTCCTTGTCTCTTTCTCCTCTATTTTTCCTTTCATTCTATTCTTTACCTCCCCACTTGATAACAATACAGTTCATTTTTTACCTCCTCCTCCTCCTCCCACTCGCCTTTAACTCCATCCTGATATCGCCGACTATTCGCCTTAACTTGCTAACAATGATTTAGACTTCTAACACCTTGTAATTCCTAATCTCGCCCACCGACCCCTTCTCCTTTCTTCAGCTGTTCATTTAGGAAAACACATTTAGAATTACACCTTCGCTTTTGGAAGCCCATCGATAAACGATTACACGGATGTCTCACTGTTGACAGTCAGAGCATTCAAGTTACTTGTTTCTTCTGCTAATAATATTTCCCCAGTAATTTATTTGATTAATCTTCACACAAATGGTGCCATTGAAATCAAATGATAGTAAATCTGCTTAAAATTCAATTGTCACTGGCATTCAATTCTATTACTAATACTACAATTATTACTACTACTAATAATAATAATACTAATCGATACTTCTGCTACTAATACTACTAATAATAATTAGTATACTTCTTATACTACTACTACTAATAATAATCAGTTTTAACGATCTTAATTCTTAAGTTAATGATTGAATACGATTTACCCAAAGCATTGCTAAATATTTGAGCTTGACCTCAACAAAATATTACAATTAATAATACTAAATATAGATGAGGGCTATTATTAAAGAAATAAGAGATAAAAGATTAAGAACTGATATGGTTTTCCATTCTAATGAAGCATCCGTTAATCGCATAAGAGTCTTATCGCTTCCTCAAACTCCCCTTCTTTCTTTCTTTCTTTCTTTCTTTCTTTCTTTCTTTCTTTCTTTCTTTCTTCCGTTTTATCTTGATTTATTTTCCCTTCCTCTCCCTAAAACAAACAGCGCCTTTGATATACATTTTATTCCGTCTATACTCGCAATCAAACAAGAATAGTGCATTGTTTATCTGAGATAATGGCAGAGTGTAACGGACTTGCTAACTAATAACTAAGGCGGTATAATAATAATAATAATAATAATAATAATAATAGAAGCAGTTACAGAGACAGGACCTGTAACAATTTGATTGGACTTTACAATACACACAAACAGAACAATCAAAGCTAATCGCCCAGACATCGTGATCAATGACCACAAGGACAGGATGTGCTTTCTTATTGACATGACAGTCCCTGCAGACTGTAATGTATCTTTGAAGATCTTCAAAAAGCTATCAAAATACAAGGACCTTTGAAATCTAACAAATATGGCATATGAGGACATCAATAATTCCAGTTAGAGTTGGAACACTCGGATTTATAGGAAAGGTTTCCGAGAGAGTCATTGAAGTGATCCCTGGTAGCCTGGGGCTTGAAGAAGTACAAAACATTGTACTCGCAAATACAACTCACACATTATTAAGATCTTTATCCATGTAAAATGCGTGTGATCTTAGTTTGTTTTGTTTTTTTCAAAAATGATCAGTGGAAAATGCCATGAAGTCATTTCTGACCTTAGGTTTCTGGTTGGGACCCTGAAAAAAAATGTGCCTACAAAAGAAATCAAAGGAAATAATAATAATAATAATAATAATAATAATAATAATAATAATAATAATAATAATAATGAAAGACAACTCAGGGCCGCCAAAACTATAACGAGGAAGAGACTGAATGGAAACAGAGGAAACGCAAACAAAAAAATAGAAAGAAAAACAATAATATGAACATTTAAAAAGAAAAAAAAAATGAAGAAATGGTTGAAAATTCCCCAGCGACATGGCTAAGCCCATGAAATGTTAAATAAGAAACTGAGTCGCTCTAAATGGCGACCCAAAATAACTTCTTTCTAATTAAATACGAATATAATGACCAAGATAAATAAAACACAAAGAAACTACAAGAGGATAATGTGTCGAAATAAGGATAAGCTAGTTAATCACATATTTAGTAAATGTAGCCACGGATAGAATACAAGGATAGACGTGATTGGTTGTTTTTCGTTTTTTTTTTTTTGTTTTTTGGGGTTTTTTTTTTTTGGTTTTTTTAGATTACCATTTTAAGATCCTTGTATTTTGATAGTTTTTGAAGATCTTCAAAGATAAACTACAATCTGCAAGGACGGCCATGTCAATAAGAAAGCACATTCTGTCCTTGTAGTCTCTGATCGCAATGCCTGGGTGATTAGCTTTGATTGTTCTCTATGTGTTAAGTCCCAGAAGATTGTTACAGGTCCTATCTCCGTAAACATGACTGGGTGATATTCAAAGCAATTTCTTGCAGTTTCCTTCCCATAAAACTTGCATATTTTCCACTGGAGATATTGGTCCATTCTATCAATGCCGAGTTTTATATTCTCTGGGTGCTAACACCGTGCAAACTGATACAAGATGGTCAATTGTTTCTGGATATTTATCACAGAATCAACATTTCGCGTTAACACAATTCTTCACTATGTGTGCTTGGGAATTTCTAGTTAGAAAACATTAATTATTATTATTATTAGTAGTAGTAGTAACAGTAGTAGTAGTAGTAGTAGTATTCCGTTAGCGTTTTTCATATTTTTCTTTTGTATTTATTTCTGTGACTAATTACAGTAAAAAAAATTCTTCAAGATTTTGATGCAGATTTTCCTCTTTAAATAATTTCAATGAATATTAAGCATCGAAAGAATTTAAGATTTAAGATATCAATTATATTTCAGTCCAAGTTCTTTGACTGAAGAAACTCACCGAATAATAATAATAATAATAATAATAATAATAATGGGACTTTAAAATACACAGAGAGAGAACAATCAATGCTAATCGCTCATACATCTGATCCAAGACCACAAGGACAGAACGTGCCTATTTATTGAGATGGTACCCACTGCAAACTGCAATGAATCTTTGAAGATCTTCAAAAAACTATCAAAGCACAAGGACCTTGACATCGAAATCTCAAAAATGTGGCAGGTGAGGCTATCAGCAATTCCAGTTGTAGTTGGAGCACTCGGATTGATTGGTTCCGATAGACTCATGGAAGTGTTTCCTGGAAGCCCATATGCCTTAAAGAAATACCAAAATTTGTACAGGTTAATCCGAAAGTCTTGTCACACCTATATAATATAATTTTCTATTTCAACACTCTGTGGGGGTATTAGCAAGGACAGTGTTTCATATGAACGATGCCAAATAGCCCATCAGTTGAAGAACGCCGTTCTGAGATCCTTTGCAACAATCAACAGAGAAACAGCTTCGTAAAATATCACACAGGAAATGACGCCGCATCGTTTTATGGCACGAAAATGATGACGTTCTTGCAGATCTCCTCGATGTTTGACAGCGTCAATGAAAGTAAATAAAACTGAATTCAATACATGTGATTTGGATTATTGTACTGCTTGTTCTTCTATTGTTCTCATTACTTTTTTTACTAGGAGATGACAAGACTTTCGGATCACCCTGTACAACTCACACTTTGCAAAGGGCTTTATCTATGTAAAGTGTTTGTGATATATATATATATATATATATATATATATTTTCTATAAAAAATATTCAGTGGAAAACGTCTTGATGTCATTTCTGACCTTAGGTAGGAACACGGAAATTAATGAGTATACATCAAATATCAAGGGAAAGAAAATAAATAATAATAATAATAATAATAATAATAATAATAATAATAATAATAATAATAAAGAACAATGAAAGCTAACCGCCCAGACATTGTTATTACAGACCGCAAACAAAAAAAAAATTGCCTCCTTATTGATATGGCAGTCCCTGAAGAGTGCAATGTATCTATGAAGATCTTCAAAAAGCTATCAAAATACAAGGACATTGAAATTGAAATTTCAAAAATGTGCCACATGGGAACATCAACAATCCCTGTTGCAGACGGACCCTCGGATTGGTTGAAGGGATTCCTGGAAGCCCATGCCTTAAAGAAATATAAAAAATTGTTCTTACGAGTACAGCCCACACCTTACGAAGGGCTTTATCTATGTAAAATATGTCTGTGTTTTTTTTTAATTGCTCAGTGGAATAGGTCATGACGCCATAACTTACCTTAGGTCTCTGCGCGGGACACAAAAAGAAATATGAACACACCAGAAATCAAATGAAATAAAATAATAATAATAATAATAATAATAATAATAATAATAAGGACGTTGAAATCGAAATCTCAAAAATGTGGCACATGGGAACGTCAACAATCCCTGTTGTAGTTGGAGCCCTATGAATGGTTGGAAAAGATTCCAGTAGACGCATTGAAGGGTTGCTTGGAAGCCCATACTTTAAAGAAATACAAAAAATGGTCCTCACGAGTACAGCCCACACCTTACGAAGGGCTTTGTCCATGTAAAATATTTTTTTTCCAATGGAAAATGTCATGATGCCATTTCTAACCTTAGGTCCCTGGTCGCGATCCGGAAAGAAATGAATACACACCAGAAATCAAAGGAAATAATAATAATAATAATAATAATAATAATAATAATAATAATAATTGTTGTGACCAAGTAAATGGTTAAGTAATAACAAAAACCAGGTTTGCAGAAATATTGTATATTAAATAGTAAGTACACCAGAAGAGTATTACACGACTAGTGAGAGTGTATTGAATGAACTAGCGCTCAATCTATTTACCGTTCCCTGAAGCCTTCTGTCTTATAGTAGGCGGAAGAGTCTAACATAGACTCGTTAGAGGGAGGACACCACAACAAACAGATAGCAAAGATAATAATAATAATAATAATAATAATAATAATAATAATAATAGCAGTGTCCATTATCATCTTCTGAATGTTTGTTGCTCATTTTAAGCAGCTACTAGCAGTCTCTGGATTATTGGGTGAAATTTTCATGAATTTAGATTTAGTAACACAGCAGCATAAACTATCTCCAGAGACATGGCACTTGCCTTAACACAGCAGCGTAAACCTCCTCCAGAGAGATCAAACTTGCCTCAACACAGCAGCATAAACTATCTCCAGAGACATGGCACTTGCCTTAACACAGCAGCGTAAAATCTAGAGAGATCGAATTTGCTTTAATACAGCCTAAACTATCTCCAGAGACATCAAACTTGCTCTAACACAGCAGCGTAAACCTATCTCAAAGCCTCAACACAGCAGCGTAAACCTTCTCCAGAGACACCGGACTTGCCTTAACACAGC